TGCGACGAGTCGCAGTTATTGCAGCTGACAATGATGATGAATTCATCACTAAGCACACAAGAGCCAGTTCCAAACGACACATCCGGCCCATTTCGCGTCTTAATTTGTGAACAGGTGTTTGTACAAGTAAGTCGCCAAAAAACGTGTGCATCAGATTCGGTAAGAATAAACACCAATACTTGGGATAGGCCGTTTGGTTTATCATTCAACTCGGTGACAAATAACCAGACTACTCATAAAATAGTCCTAAATATCACAGAATGATGGAAGTAAAGACCCAGACCGGTACAAATCATTTTCAGCAGGGGGATGGGTGAGAACGTTATGGCGGGGGGGGGGGTACTCTGGATAAGGTAAGAAGAGTCATAGTCAATTGGGAGTAAAATGACCGATAAAGTGCGAAAGGATAAAAGAAACGATGTACATATAAGGGGATTTGGACTAGTGTGTGATAGGACCATTTGGACAAATAGAACTGAAAGAATCAGCCGGAGTCAGGCGTCCGGGAGAGTAACCGGCAAGGCTGGGCGTAGTGGAAGTTCCCAATCGGCATGATTCGAGCAGGCGAACCAGTTCACGCGAAGTGGGACCACCGGTCAAGTAGGCCGACTGGGATGGCGCGTGAGTTGCATTGTGGGGCAGAACACCAAGTGGTCCGATACTGCCGGGTGTAATTGATACAGTAGGGTTACTGGCCACCCCGAGAGAGACGGTTCCAGAGGTTGAGAGGTCTGTAAGAAAAAACGTGATTAGGATTGTTGCTTATTAAAGGATGCGATTATGGAAAACGTCGGCAGTTTTTCAGCAGTAAAACTGTTATACACCCTTTAGGTTGCGCCGGGAATTGCTTGCAGACCGGATCTGTGCACCAGAAGAGGACATATACATCATGCTCCCAGTAGCAAGGACCATTTTTCAAAAAAGAACACTAGTTAATGGAGTGGAACGGCAATTTTAAGAAGCTCTTCTAAGCCAGAACGTTCCATTAACCACACTGAACTACAAACCTATCCAAATACTGTTCATGATACCACACCCTATATTATCATCGTCATTGTCAGCTGTAATAACCGCGTACTCGTCGTACAGTGGTTGTAGCTGCCGCAGTTTCGTTCACCGATGATTTGGAGGGGGGTAGGTAGCTGCGCATTGCAGTCGGGAGCTGGTAAATTGGTGCATAAATCCAGCACTGTCAGTGGGCTGTCAAGTGGGGGGTTGTTTGGAAAAGGAGCTATGCATTGAAGGCAATAGCTTGGATGCACGAGTGCAATTGAGGGCGCGACTGGGCCATATCTGACAATGTCTCTAGCCACTGATGTGGCCCGTCTCGGGGTCCCCATCCAGGAAGACGGCAGTGACCAGCGCAGCTGAGTTTGCTGGTAATGGCTTTTACGCTTCGCTGCCAAGTCATTGGTTGACCGCCTCTGGCTCTCTTCCAGCGTTCACATGGTTGTGCGAAAAGAGCCCTTCGAGGAAGTCGGTCGACTGGCATACGCAGCACGTGGCCAAGCCAGCGCAACCTATGCGTTGTGATCAGTTCATCTGAATTCATCAAAGCTTCGACGTACTTCAGCAGCATTACTGACGCAGTGTTCCCACCAGATTCGGGCAATGCTCCGAAGACATCGATGGTCAAACACTGAAAGTCTTTTGACGTTCTCGGCGCGCAGCGGCCAGGTTTCTAATCCATATAGTAATATGGAGCGCACCCTATATCCTTTCATGCTATATCTTTTGGATGAGACTGTACATCAATAAAAACGCCCCTTTCGGTGGAACAGCTCTGAACTCGAAGATCCTTGTGATTATTGGTTTTGGAACGCCGTACACAACATTGTAGTCTTTATCGATTGCCGCCTCAACCGTGTGATGATGGGCATCCGCCGGGAACATCGACAAGGCACTAGGGGCATTACGTCGAAACTCGGAAGAATCGACGGACTGTTCATCGTTACGCCCACCAACGGTTAGCATCGTGCCTCACCTCCTTGGGTGGTCTGCATCGGAATCGAAGTTTCGACCCGCATTCAGCTCCACACAAACTGACTGTAGTCTGCTAAACATGTGTAGCATTGGTCAGCCAGCCAATCCGCCCCAGCTGTCCACACATAAAAATGCAGTTGGGACCAGTGGATACGAGGACGATATCAAGATAGGAACACTGTGCTTAACTTATCAAGACCGCCCAAATTACTGTTCGACCGAATCACGAATAGGCACACACAGAAGGACTTCACTACGGACGAATACGGTTGCTTAGTCTGAGAACCATGGATCCAGGATTACGCAGATAGAGATCGTTTCAGAAACAATGATTGAAGAGATCCAGGACTTTTGTGGCGAAACGAGCGTTTGTGAAAATGTGCCTGGGAGACGGTTAGCCACTTGACCAGTTTCGGGCTGTCTTTCTTGTTCCATGTTGCCAAATTTTCCGGTTTTGGGATAGTGATCGCGCACTTTTTTGAAAACGAGCCATCACTCACTGACGCAAGTCTTGCTTGCATTCATCCCAGCCCTAGCCAAAGTGATTATGTATGGTATCCAGAATGGGAACGTGTGCTTACCCCATACTCAAGGGCCACCCATGCCTGAGTCACCTCTGAATTTCTTGCTAATACCAATATATGATTTGTAAATGAGCATATTTCCACATGGTCGTTTGTGTTACGCAAAGCTTTACACCAATTTTGACGGTGCATTTTGAGGAAACGATTGCAACGACTGACCCATGCCTGAGTACTCGTGTTCCGGTCAGATCACTTCTACATTGTTCTACCTAATGTGAAAAATCAACAGGCATGGTGACCTGAAATAACCTGTGTAGTTATATAGCGGTCATGAAATTCGCCGCAAGGTCACGCTAGAATGATCATGATGGGGAAGGAAGGCCAAGACGTCGATTGGTCAATGTTCTGGCCAATCATAGTGCGCCTTTTTGGGGGGTTCGTAGCGGTTCGTTATACAATCGACGTTATTTCCAGTAATTGTCCAATGCTCATCATTCATTCAATCAATAATAATAGTCTTAAGAAACGAAAAACAGTCAAGCATGCCTCGCTGGCATGGTTAAGTCTATCGGTCACAAACTTAGTACCACTCGGAAACTGCGACGAGCGGGAGAGCTTCGGGAACGAACAGTCGTTCGGCTCTTTGGATCGAAATTTATTCCACCTAGAGAAAGCGCTTCTTGACCAGAGTGGTTCACATCGGATGGGATGAATGAAATAGATAAGACAAGACAATGACACGGTTCTTAAGCACAGGTTGTGATGTCATCGGTTATTCCAGAATGCGGAACTATCTCCTGTGTGGATGAGTAGGTCTTTGATCGGATGCATAGAGACTGGAATCATTACGCAAGCGAAGACTACGTTGCTACAAAATGAAATGTATAATGTTTCAGTTGTGGCACCCTTTTGGTGTTTGGTTCCACGTCAGCCCAAGGAGGCGAGATGGACCAAGTGGTTAGAGCGCGAATTTACTGACCTAAAGGTTCATGGTTCGAACCCGACCTCTGTCTCTCGGATTCCCCTGTCTAGGCTTAGGCAACCTGGCAGTATCCAAGCCCTCGTGCCTCCTTCATGTGGCATGGCAGCCAGGCACCAAAAGGGTGCTACAGCTGAACGACATCACCCCAAAGGAACATGCGGGCCGAGGTACTGTCGGGTTGCTCAAGATTAGACGGGACCAGTCGAGATGCAGAAGTCAGGTTCGAACCTCCCGGTCAATGAGCTCACGCCTGCATCACTGAGCTATCACAAACCGTAGTTCGTCTAATCAAGCCATCGATAGAATCCCAGTTCAAGAATATACAAAAAAGGTGAAATGATCCTGTTTTCGAACTCATCCAAGTGGCCAGAGGAGATCACCATCGATCGTACTGCTTGATGCCAGCAAGTATGCAGGATTCAAGTCAACGGAGCAGATGCAACGAAAGTAGTTTAATTTAGAATTGTGTCCAGTTGCTACGTTGGATTGAATTCCTAAAGATACAAGTGGAAAACACAAGAAGAATGATAACTCACCGGGACTGAAGCTTCCATCGAACCCGAGCAACGGATTTCCAGGTGCCAGACCGGCTGCGACACATTTCATTGAGTTCAGCGCAGTTGTAAGATCCCAAACCTAAAAAGACAGGCGGGTTAGTTGTGACTGGAATGAGCGATACCATCTGATTGTAGTTCCAATAGGTGCAAAAATGGGACCGAGGCACCCTTTTCGATTTCACGGGGCGCGCTATCATCAGATGATCCGCTGGTACGCACTACACTATACTCCAAAAAAGAGTGGAATTGTGTGTCAGACGTGGCGAATTTAGCAAACGAACTGTCCTGTTTGTAGTCATTTAGACCGGCCCAATAAACTCCGTATATCGCTCTAGTCAATATACCAGACACCTGTGGCAAGAAAACTGTCGTGGTTACTCTTTGATGTTCTAGACACAAAACCTTCGTCAGACCAAGTGATTGGGTCATGAGGTTGGTCGGAATTTAAGACGGAAGGAGAACCAATAAACTAATTCAAGCTAAATCCGTGTTAAGTGTCTCCTAATTGATTTTGTTTGTCAGGGTGGGTCAGCAAGTGTTAAGACTTACAAGGATTCGGTCCAGCTTGGGGTCTAGTTCTTCCGGTTGGGTTTACATGAAGACTCCTCTTGAACAGCCCTTACACTTTTTGTCCGTCTGTGTGAATGAGTTAGTGCTAAGAAAGTCGTGTAAGACAGAGGGATTCTGTGAACTTTGGTCGGGTTGGGACTTCCACCGTTAGTTGTGTGGATGTGTATAAACTCCACTGTTTTTCTGAGCACCGGCCTGTATCTTTATTTTTTTACCGGGTAATTTAATTTGTTGACAGAATCTATTTAGGTATGTCTGCAAATAGGTCACCCGAAAAGCGCGCCAGATAAACAGAACGGCCCATCAACAACAGGGAGCGTTCTGATTGGTCGAAATATCGACCAATCCGAATCAAGGCTTTTTAGATTGGCGATTCTTGTTCAGACACAAATAAGCCAGTGTTGCGTTTTGCATTTCTTATGTAGTTAGAGTTGGCGTAGTTCAACACCGTCCCATTACACGCTAACTCCAGCTATTTTGCTCTACGACGCCCGGTACTAGGTAGCATAGGAAGTTGAGGCCCAAAAAACAGAGAAATGAAGCAAGCTATTAGCTGAAGTTACCTGGACTGATCCATCTGTGTGTCCGGTGAAGATGTAGCGCCGCGGGTGTGCACCGACCCTATTAGATCCATCATGCTCGTGTACACAAAAAGAGCTTATCGGGGTTCCATCAACCGACCGAATTACGCAAACTCTACAGGGACGGACGGGAAAAGTGAACATTATTCCAGCTTGTCGATGAACTAGCTAACGTACACATTGAGTGGGAAAGTAAAAACAGTGGACGTACCAGAGAGTTTCATTGAATATCGTCAAAACCAAAAGGGAGAGACATTTGTCAGCTCTTCAGAGCATCTGGTTTAAGGGAACGCTGTGGAATGTCTAAACGATTTCCAGGGCTATTGCGAAGCTCGGAGAACGGATTAACACAGACTTTATCAACGGCCGGTACCTCACACACCCAAGCTACCACTGAAAGGAAGAAGGCCTTCGCTGCGGATTTACTTATTGGAAAACACCAACTGAGCAGCTACAGACTATTGGACAGGGAAGCAAAACTCTCATATGCATCTTGTTTACAAAAACTGAGTATCCATCTTCTCGAACGCGCCTTCTAGAACTATCCCGGATACTCATCGACTATCACTCAAATGTAAACGAATGCTACAAAGAAGCTCCACAAATTCCATGATGAATCTCACTTTTCGATAAACGCGAAGCGGACTTACGAGAAAACGACGTACTACTTGAACGCCTCATCAGTGGTGTCCACCGTTACACACCTTCCCCATTTAAAGGTCGTTCAGATGCCACTCACCTCCGTTGGGTCGGCTGTAGCAGCTGGTCCATTCGGCCGCTCTTCGGGTGTATCACGCCGCTTACGAAGCTGTCTCGTTTACTCTTTTCGATTCCCGATTGTCTAGAGTTGTATGGACGTTCCCCCGGCGGTCAGTAATGACAAACGGACCTTGACATCGACTGCCCAGCTTCCGCGACCCTAGTCCACTCCTTCCAGGATTCTAGTAATCCTTCTGCTTGACTTTCGTGCCTATGGGGCATGGTCGCGCCTTTCTACTTGCCGTTTTCTCTCTGGTCCTTTCCTGAACGGCGGTCAAGTTTTCTCCAGCTTTCCCCATCTAGCTCCTCCAAAGACAGGCGTGTTGCCGGCCACAACCAAATTTCCTGATCAACTGGAAGCCGCGGATGTTGGCCGTACATTAGGGTAAACGGAGACTTGCCTGTGGTTGGCTGTATGGAAACCAGATGAGCTAGCAACATCATTGGCAAGTTCAGTTCCCAGTCACCTCCTTTGGCCGCCAGCCAGTCCTGGATCGTTCGGTTAGGTCATTTGTTTGCGGGTAGCATAGTGCCGCCCTTGGCCGTCTGATATCCAGCTTCTGTAAGCAATTCCTAAACTCTTCGCTCTCAAAGCGAGACCCCTGATCGGTTAGGATCATTTTTAGCACCCCATGGTTTGCCACGATGTGATGCATTACCACTCCACTGATCGTCGTCGCCCGTTGATTTGGCACGGCTGCCACCTCGATCAACCGCGACAGGTGTTCTGTCACCGGAAAGGGGTCCATGACGTCAGCGGAACATAACTCGCGGGTTTTTGAGACAGGAATGGGTTCCATGGGATGGGTTGCCCCTGTCGTATCCCCTTTCATCAGTTGGCTTACAGGACACCACTAATCCATCACCTCACTTCTCATCCCGAGCCAGTAGGCCCTCTGCCGAAGTAAGTCGTGCGTCTTGGTACACCCTGTATGTGCCATCTCATGCCATCTCAAGGCGCGAGGTATCACGGACGGCACAACATCCGAATCAGTGGTGTTACAGGAAATTATGCCAGCTTCATTCAGCCTCAGCCGACGACGAAGCACCAGGACCAGACGATCCGTATTTAGTTCTCTTCAAAGAAAGCGGAGAATCCTTGGTGACCCCTCGGACGAAGCTTATTGGTGCGATATGGAACGAAGAGAAAGTGCCAGCGGAATGGGGTATGTCAACAGTTACTCCTGTCTTCAAAAAGAGATGTTCCGCGAAAACCACCGTGACATCAGCCTGGTAGCTGTGGCATCGAAGGCGCTCTCTGGCCTTCGAAGGTTGACCGAACACAGAGAGAGACAGATCCGTGAAAAGCAACCTGGGTTCCGTCCTGCAGGAGGTTGCATCAATCACACCTTCACCCTCCGACAGATACCGGAACAGCGGCACTACTTCCAACAGCCAACAATGATTGTGTTTCTCGATCTGAAAGCTGACTTTGACTCTGTAGACCGTCAAGCACTATGGCTGTGTCTGTGGAGCAAAGGTGCTCCCCATACATTCTTGACCCTTCTTAGGGCGCTGTACGCCAACTCCCGCGGCCGTTTAAAGTCTACGGGAAGCTCTCGCCTGAGTTCACCACATCAAGTGATGTCAGACAGGGCTGTTATCTTTCATCTTTCCTCTTCGGCTTTCTCATTGACACGATTATGGAAGACTCAACATCAGCCTTTAATGCCTGTGGGGTCGGTGCTCCAGGGGCGTCCACCCACAGATATAGAGTGCGCGAGCAACACAACTCTTTCTGGATCTGAGTGATAATACATACAATATTGGCTAATCTAAATAATTAAGCCTCACGATTTGGCATGCGCTTCATACGTGTAAAGTGCAACTACAAGGCAGGGCGAGCTCGAACCCTAACCTCGTGCTTGTGGATGAGCCAAATGAGGTAGCACACAAGTTTGTCTACCTGGGCAGCTGCATCGGTCCCGGTGTTCTCACGAAAGATGATATTTCCATCCGGATTGGGAAGGCCAGAGCAGCTTTCGTGAACCTGCGGCGTAGGCGTGACATCGGCTTATCCGTCAAAGGTCAATTTTAATGCTTTCCTTACTTGGTGCACGCTGTTAGATAAAATACTTATAAAAAACTCTGAAGATGCTATCATGCATATTTGACCGGTTGCTCCCTAGGGTTGCTATGGTCCGCTCAGCCGATGGCGACCCAGTTCGGATAGCCTGAGTGATAAAAACAATCAGTTACTTGAAAGTGCTGATTTTTAGTCGAGTACCGTCTCACGTCGAATGATCTGTCAGAAAGGTTTCAATAACACAACGATAGAAACCGTAGGGGCGAAATGGATCAAGTGGTTAGAGTGCGAATTTACTGACCGGAAGGTCCGTGGTTCGAACCCGGCCTCTGCCACTCGACTTCCCCTGTCTAGGCTTGGGCAACCTGGCAGTATCCCAGCCCTCGTGCCTCCTTCGTGTGGCATGGCAGCTAGGCACCGAAAGGGTGATACATCTGGACGAGAAACCGCTATCTAAAACTGGGATTTCTACACAAAATGAAATCACAGTAAACTTGGAGAAACGGTACCTACCGCTTCCCAGTAGCACCAAACCGCACGAACAACTGAGTGGCATTTGGGGTGAATTTCTGTACAAAAACCAATATGTCTTCACGTTCTCCATACGGTCCAGGATCATTGGCATACCGATGCAATTCAATAATCGGCGTGGAACGGTTCTTGTCCGTGCGGGGATTGCGGTACACAGGAAGGGGGCTCGGTGACACAGTAGAGTCCGGGGTGACGATTGGGGCCATAGGCGGGCCATGAAACGTCTGGCAACGACCAACAGTGGGAAGATTTGGCTGCTCACCGGGAGCTGAAGAGTGTTGGAGCCGTTCCATTGGTTGGGGATCGTGTAAACTGTTTCCTTGAGCCCCGTTGGTTACCACACTGGTTCGAGCACTGGTGCTGCTACGAGGTGGAAATGTTCAAAAGGAGAGAGTATGAACACAACGACCAGTTCGAAGAAGAGTCTTCGAGACAGAGTTAATTTGCTTTCAACCACCAGACTTTATGTGTCTCAAAAAGGTTGCCGATTCATCATGTTATTGTACACAAAAATCAGTATAATCATACACATTAAGATTTGAAATGAGACAGGGAATTCGAGACGAAGGCGCAGGCTTACTAGACTAGAAGGGAAACTGAATACATTGTAAACTGGATGTTCATTTCGGCACAGTTGCTGTTGATGGTATTGATGAAGATGGTGGCGGTACACCGGTGCAGTGACCTACATGCACACTGGAGCCTACTCAGCCACAGTGGCATGGTAGCGTATAAAGTGAACTGAATGTCTGGATTGCATCCACAAAAATCCGTTGCTCCAGGACTCGAACACGAGCGCTACCAAGTGCTCCAATGACCATTTCTGCAAAATGGTTTGTAAAAAGTAGCAGACAAACATTTATCAGAATCCCACTGCCAGTTAGACACCGTTATTTGTCACGTCCGATGGGCACCATCTGTGATGTTGCAAAAGTGCTTTCTCACAAGCAGTACGTAGTTTTGTTTCATGGGAACATATCCATAGAAATCACAATGTTCGAATGAATTTGGTCATTCCAACAGCTTTCCGAAACACTGCATTGGGATCACACAGCGATCGACCCAACCACCTATTTGCAGTACATCACTAGATGCGAGGATCCACGATGTCAATATTTCCTTACGACTCTAGACTTGCCGTGTAAAAAAGGATTCTCCTGAGAACCAAGTGAATTACCTGACGCCTATTGATTTCCACACATCAGGAAGCTATACCACTACAGAGGCAGTTCAAGGAATGTTGTTCAATCAGAACAGTGGGAAGGTCTTTCTTACCGACAATACCCATCTCATACATGAGCAACCTTGCAGTTGACGAGCCCACAAACTGTGGTAGTGAGGAGATTTCGTTCAGCTGTAACACCCTTTCGGTGCCTAGCTGTCATGCCACACGAAGGAGGCACGAGAGCTGGGACACTGTCAGGTTGCCCGAGCCTAGACAGAGGAAGTCGAGAGGCAGAGGTCGGGTTCGAACCACGAAACTTCCGGTCAGCAAATTCGCGCTCTAACCACTGAGCCATCTCGCCCGGGAAGAGATTTGGAAACTTTCAATTCAGATCTTGTCCTGTAAGTAAAGCCAAGTAAAGCGGAGAAGCATTGTACAGCAGCAATTTCGTGAGATCCGCACTGCCGATGATTCCCAATATAAGGATAAAACAGCTGTACAGTGCTTCTCGGATTTGTAGCATAGATTGGCTCCACTCACAGGACGAAATCTCAGTTGAGAATTACCTCACACTATCACGAATCTATAAGTAGGTCAGAGAAAGAACAAGTTCACAAGACGAGTAAAATTCCCTATGAGATGTCACTCGGAGAGCTAGTCAATACGTGTGACCATGTGATGTGGGCTCAATGATTGATTGGTGCCTGGTGCTGTAGGTGCTGTGTAGGTGCGAGCTGATCACATTGCTGATCAGCCGTTCGTGTCCGGACGGTTAAGTGCTCAAGCCATTAGCCAGGCAGTCATAGGAGGTCTCGAGAGTTTCGTGAGATACGCACTGCTGATGCTTCCAAATAAGGATGAAATAGCTGTACGTACGTCCTAAGCTTTTCGGCTCGGCATACTTTCACTTCACAGAAAGGATGAATTTCCAGGTACCAAACAAATTGCGTTTGTTAGCTGTACGGTGGTCCTAAGCTTTTCGGCTCGGCATACTTTCACTTCACAGAAAGGATGAATTTCCAGGTACCAAACAAATTGCGTTTGTACGGTTAGTCAAGACAGAACATTGCAGTATTCAGGCTATGTCTCGTGCTGTTGTGATCCCACAACAACCACAAAAGTCGTCAAGTTGAAAGACACTGTTCGCGCAGATCCGACCACAACCGACACACATCACGATTGCTTCAACTGTGATGAGAATGAAACTACTTATCACGTTAGTGTGAATAGTTCGTGTGTCCGGTCAACACTGATGGGCAAACAAATAGATACAAATGACATCGGCAAGGTCATGTCATACTAATCGTTCAATTAAAGTAGCATTCCGAGGCGTTGCAGCAGCAGCATCATCAGCATCGACAGCATGACACCGATGCTTCACTGCCGCACAACCATGATGTTTTCGAAAGCCTTAGTGTAAAGAAAAGATTAAAAGTGGACGGGGAAGGGATTTAGTGATAGCTTATCATAATCATTCTGAGGTGTCTATATCTCCAGACATTCACTCAGGCGATCTGGATAGAAACTGACAACAAGAACGCCACTGACGTCGGTTGGCAGCCATACCTTGCAGCCTCTCCAACCAGGCACAGTGAGGATCACGCGGTCCCCTCCCTGGAAGGCGAGTAGCACCGACAGCACCTAAGCGTTTCTCGATCTCCTTCATACTCCTCTGCCAAGTCAAGGGTCGGCCACCTCTCTGTTTACGCCAATCTGAATCGGGCATGAAAAACACCACTCTCTTCGGTAAACGATGGCTAGGCATACGCAAAACATGTCCCAAACAACGCAGCTTCTGGTGCTGGACACATTCTTCAATCGAAGTACCCGTTACACAACCGAAAACTCGCTTTCAAATTGCCTCGTTACGGATACGCCGACACCAACTCACACGAGCTATCGTTCTGTCGATAGCCCGAACAACTGTAGACGTCTCAGTTCTGCTGCTCGAATAGGCCAAGTCTCACATCCATACAACAAAACAGCCATACAAACCGAAAGAGATATGAATCAGTCGAGGAGCCAGGTTCAGTTCGAATCACAGACATTCAGTAGTCTTCAACCACCAATCTCCATGTTCTCGAAAATGAGCCAAACATCGCTGGGTGGACGATCCAACGCTGTTGAATTGCTTGAGCTCAGCCCACATGTTCACTTTGCCAGGAACACTTGCTAGCAGTCAAGATGTTGTTCACAGTTGTCCACGATTATTAGCCGACGTTTGATGAGCTTCAAAACGTTTTCAAATTTGGATTTTCGGAAGTTTGATACAAAGGCACAACCGCCGACCCATCTCTACGCACCACTACGCTCCCTAACAACGCACTAATGATGTCACCTCTTTGATAATGAGACGTTTGCAATCCCATTGTCCAGCTAAGCGAACAAACCAACGACACTACGCTCCCAACGCACTAATGATGTCACCTCTTTGATAATGAGACGTTTGCAATCCCATTGTCCAGCTAAGCGAACAAACCAACGACCGACCACAAAGGCGAAAGCACCCTCTTACGCTTCTAGTTTTGACTGGATCTAAAGATTGGACTAGTTATGAGTCAGAACATGTAGTGCTGTGAATTTGGCACCAAAGCAAACCAAGTCAACAAAACGGTTAGACAGGTAAAAGTGACCTTGTGGGTTAGGAACGTAGGGAAACGTTCTCGTAGAAAACGCACCCGGGATCTTCGTGCAGCCACGAAGTGCGTGGTAACACTACGATATCAGTGGTCACTGTCGATCCCCGAAGCTGAGCGAAATTTCCTGAGTCCGTGGGAGAGACTATATCAGATCGACCAAGGGACTGGGACCGATCGACTTGAGTGTAAACTATTGATGCAGGCATCGGAGGACTCGATGGTGTCAAATCGACAGGTTGTGATACCGGATTTGTCGGATCGTTCCGGTCCAAGGTGGAACCAGGAGACCTGGAATGGGAAGTGCGGCGCCGCCATTGCGAAAACCGGAAGGCCGCTTGAGACTGCGAGGGACAGCGGGTTTGCTCTGCACTGGTTGGTATCACTTGCGAATGGGTTCGAACAATATCACGTGACGGGTTGGACAGGCGGGTGGCTGTTGCACAAAGCTGCGCTGCTTCGATCACAGAATCCGTGAGCGTCTGTGGATTTGTGACGTCCAGAGTGGTGATGTGGAATGATGCGATCGGAGTGGATCCGGGTTGGGTACTGATGATTCCACGGAACCGGGTGACAGCCCAAGTGCGGACGTGGTTAAAATCATTGCAGACTACCGGAGGAGTTCGATGAGAAGGGCAACGAGAAGAATATAGTGGGCATATTAACGACTAGTTTAGGCGTAACCAGTTCTAATTCTAACGAGTCTCAAAACGATGAGAGAACGACCAAATCATTTGATCAATCCAAGCGAAGCTACCTGTTTATATGAGAGTTTAAGGAAGAAACGGTCCAGCAAGAGTGCACGGACGCTTGTTTTTGGCCACTTTTTTGTTAGGGTAAACTGAGTGAAATATGCTGTACAGATCAACGTATTGTATGGTTCAGCTGCAGTACCCTTTCGGTGCCTAGCTGCGATGCCACTCGAAGGAGACACACGGGGGGGGGACGAGATAGCGTCAGGTTGCCCAAGCCTAGACAGGGGAAGTCGGGATTCGAAACACGGACCGTCCGATAAGTAAATTAGTGCTCTAATCACTGAGCGGTATTGAGCCCAAGGTATTGTATGTGATTTTACTGAGGTACACTAATTCAATTCGGTTGGCTTATCAAATTTCCAACGAAGTAACCCGAATTCCGCCTATGACTGCATGTCTGGGTGCCACCATCTCCACGGATGAGCTAAACCAAGCGCCATGAGGAAACGGCCAACCAAACTAGGGATAACATCACGACCTGGTTATATCCGCAACGCTATCATCATCATTGACGGCATGACTTCAAAGTTCAACACCGATGCTTCACTGTCGTACAACCATGATTTGATTGAAAGCCTTATTGTAAAGAAAAGGTTAAAAGTGGACGGGGAAGGGACTTAGTGCTAGCTTACCACAATCATTCCGTGGTGCATATACCTCCAGACATTCACTCAGGCGATCTGGATAGAAACTGACAACAAGGACGCCACTGACGTCGGTTGGCAGCCATATCTTGCAGCCTCTCCAACCATGCGCAGTGAGGATCACGCGGTCCACAAGCTAAGAAGGCGAGCAGAACCGACAGCACCCAAGCGTCTCGTAATCTCCTTCATACCCCTCTGCCAAATCAGGGATTGGCCACCTCTCTGCTTACGCCACTTTGAAGTGGGAATGGAAAACAGCACTCTCTTTGGTAAACGATAGTTTGGCCCCAACCAACGCAGATAATGGTGATGGAATCCGCAATGTACTACAACTCAGCATATTAAGACTGAACCGTTTCCATGAAGGCGAAAATCCCATCCTGAAGTTGGCAGTTGAGACCAAAACTCTTAATTAGAAGGACAAGAACTGGTGAGATCAACCATCTATTGACTGACACTGGGGGTGGGGGCGAGTGGGCTCAATCTTATCAAACCTCACGCGAATCTCGGCATGTAAATACGTAAAAATAGGAGGCTACTCGTGAACAAGTTGGTGCATAGAACGGGGGATTATGTGGACTGTCCACAAAGCGGCGCACAATGGCTAGGAACAATTATGGGGGCGGACGTGGACTCGAACGAAAGAAACTTATGCCCATTTTGTCGAAATCACGTGAGCTTATCGGACTCCATGAAGTCGTGTTAACCAAACAGCTAACGACGGATTCCTGTCTCCCCAACAGAGACCCTCCGAAAAGAGGCCACTCCCAGGGGGTCCCCAGCAAGCATTCCCCGCCAGACTTCCATGGGATAAACCCATCGCTTATGTCTCTTCCTGGATTTCATGGCTCTATTACTCGAGTAGCGATCATGCTGTCGGACAAAAAAACGTCGCAACCCACATGAGCAATAAAGGGACACCTCAATATAGATTTAGAAGTTTACACGGCAATTTTGAACGAGGTTAGTTTTGGCCGACAGCTTGCGTACTAATGTTCAGAAACATGTCGAATTATTTAAACAAACGTAAAACCAAAACCCTCGATTAGTGTCGAGCTAGCCAGAATTTATTCGGACGAGATGGCTCAAGTGGTTAAAGTGCGCATTTACTGATCGGAGGATACGTGGGTTGCATGAGTTGCAATAACGCGAACAAGTGTGTGTGCACTTACCCGAAATCAAGTGTTTCTCCGATAGAACAACCCGGGTGACCATGGCACGGTGAACCGTGAAAGTCTGGAGTAGCTGTGGACTATAGCCCACATTTTCCGGGTACTGAACAATAAGGCAGACACGACCGGACAGAGTCCCGTAAGCGATTTCCATGCAGTTACGACCAGACGACGCTGAATAGCACAGGAAAAAAGCATTCGTCCATAAAATTGAACAACTCGTAATCAGTCGTATATGAAAAGAGGGAGTAGTACACACCACCCGCGGCGAAAACGTGATCACTAATGAGATTCTCAGAAATGTAGGACCAGAGTGGTATTTTCTGATTGTGCAAAAAAGTAAAACGCCTTTACAACGAGTACCCACTACAAAGCCTGGTTTTGCACGACCAGATCAAACTGCTTATGTAAGTTCTTTGGAACGCCAACTTCGATAGATACACTGCTCTTCATCTAAAGTTGGACAGTTGATTTTCATAAAGGAAACTACTCACAAGGTTGCTGAAAACTCTTCGACATCCCACGACCGGTTTCGCCCTTCTTGGAGCTCATCAGGTAGGCGCAGTCCCCGATTTTCCGTCAACCTTATATTCTACTTGAAACTCGGGGACTGCGCCTACCTGATGAGCCCCAAGAACGGTGAAACCGGTCGTGGGATGTCGAAGAGTTTTCAGCAAGCTTGTGAGTAGTTTCCTTTATGAAAATATACTGCGATATCTCGAATATCGTGCCAACTGAATCATAAGGCTGCCTGTGGGCAGCATATTCAGGTGTAGAGTATCATAAACAAGAGATTCGGTTGAGTCTCTTATGAAAACAAAATTGATTCGCAGATGAGTGGACAGTTGATGTCTTTTTTGTCCTAAAAGACTGCTGGATCAATACCTACTCCCATTACCCACTGTGAAACAAGCCGCAGTGGCAAGTACATTCGCTTCTAGTCTTACGCCAGTGTCTTATAAGCGTGCCTTAACGAAGGCACTACTCCGCAGGAAAACAAACAGTGTCATTCCTGGTGAACTAAACGAATAGGGGTTCTTAGAACCGACTAAAAAGGGACTAGCCTGGACGTTTTCTCCGAGTACTCGAAATGGACCAGGCTATTACCGTTTAAGTGGGATCATACGACTACAAACCTTCAGCAAGAAACAAGGTCACTCTAGCTTGTACTTTTCGGCGTCACGACTAGAAATAACCCAGCTGAGATTTCAAACCGCGACTTCTGTAACCGATGTCATCTATCCGTCCACCTGAAGCTGCGGTGACCTACTGACAGAATAGGTCATCTCAACAAAGAATGGTTTGATAGGCGTGACGAAAAGACGATCACCTAGTTGTCGGTCGGCAACCTAAAACCCAGCACTATCGGCCACAAGATAGCTGTCTACTTGGTTGATACAAAACAGTCGTTTATAGTTCTGTCATGCAATCTCAACCCCCCCCCCCCACACACACACACACCCCGGATGCTAGCTTCCAGCGAGGCAATAATGATTAAGCTGAAACAGCCGACTTCACATCTGACCAAAAGTCATTGGCTTAAAATGCCCATCAGTGTCAACACTGACGTTGTTGTCCCTGATGATGGTGATGATCACGATGCGTCAATTTATAACACTTCCACTAAACACCTATATCCATCTACTCTGATATTCTGAAGCAATGAAGTCTACTGTCTGGAAAATGCGAAATTCGAAATGAAGTTGCCTTCTTTGCGACAAATCAGTACCACCAGCAGCTGCAGAGGAGAATGAAATTGCCGTCCATCTGGTCTTCCTAGAGATCAGCTCTTACTCTCGCAACGTACGTTCCCTTCGTCACTGATGAATGGCTGCCATTTGAGCATGGTGTCAAGCCGAGCATGGATGCTGTCCCGTTGGATATCATTGCCCCTATTGCATCATCTCGGATCATCACCCCTGTCATCAAGGGCAGCAACGTAAGTGTTGGCACCGATGCTTCACCACCGTACAACCATGTGAATGTCATGGTTGTACGAGGGCTAAGATACTGCCAGGGCGCCCACACCTAGAAAAGAGAACAATCAGGGTCCTCAACCAAAGCCTTTGGCTCAAAGGCCTAACCGCAAGGCAGCGGTGTTGGGCTGGAAATGCAAGTACATTACCATCTTTAGGGAAAACAGCGCCACACATCTTCCAACCCCCAACCTGGAGGGCCAGGAGACTGTGTTTGTCAGACCTCTACCTATTGACCAACTGGTATGACTCTGAGTGTCGCGCGGACACCCCCTAGTATAGCTCAACGGGTCGCCGAGGTACACAAACCACTACACCACGGTAAAGTCCAGTCTCTTCGCGGATAACCTCAAGTGAACCCACGCAGGCTGGAATAAAATGCGAAGCTGGTGAAATCCAACACATTAAGACACCGAAAGATCTGGCGCGTCACTGGAGAACCGAGCGCATTCACGCTAACCATACGACTGAGCCAAACGGAATACAGCAAGCCCAGTCATTTCAACCTTTCTTGGGCTTGTTGCATCTGCTAGCCTCCAACTTTGTGTGTGTATGTTGTTCTGAAATGCGCCGGAGTTGACAAAGGCCATAACTTCTACTCTCTGACCCAATTACGGAAAGTATATGGCCAGCATTCCGCATTCATTATCCGTAAGACTGGCGAATCGTGAAGACCAGAATTGTTCTCTCTCTCTCTCTCTCTCTCTGTCCACTAAGACCGAGAGAATTCCAAGAAAATTCAGACACAGCTGATTTTCAATGCCCTCCATACACTGTGAACAAGGCCCATCACGCGCCACATTTGAAAGCCGTTTATCGATTTTACCAGAGGAGGAATCAATAACTGTGGATTGGCGAGTGAGGAAACTGGCTGCGCAGCGCAGCTGAAGGACGACTAAATCATCAGCAGAATTAGCGGGCAACGTTCGAGAATCATTTCCTCTGGTGTGGTGCTCTTATGCTTTGACCCAGTCGAACTGGCTACCCCGTCATACTGAATCCGCATCAGAAACGCAGTGTAATTAAAACGAATGGACTGGCACTGGACGATTTCATCGACAATCTGGTATCGGGTAAGGAAAAAGGTGTGAAGACCCCGATTCTTCGCGAGGCGGATATGATCAATTTGTGCCAGTTGACCAAGCATGTACTAATGAGCCAGCCTGTGTTGTTGGAATTGGAAGGACCACTGAAAGTTTGCGGAGACGTGCACGGACAGTTTAGAGATCTGTTACGACTGTTCGATCTGTGCGGATCACCTGAAACGACCAACTACCTATTTCTGGGTGACTACGTGGATCGTGGCAAACAAAGTTTGGAAACGATTTGTCTACTGTTTGCCTACAAAGTAAAGTACCCGACGACCTTTTTCCTTCTACGAGGTAACCACGAATGCCAGGCTATCACTCGCATCTACGGGTTTTTCGACGAATGCAAACGACGATTCAATGTGAAGCTGTGGAAATGTTTCCTGGACGTATTCAACTGTCTTCCGGTTGCAGCGGTAATTGAAAATCAAATATTCTGCTGTCACGGGGGTATATCGCCGGAATTTCTCAAACAGGACATCGCAAACCTGGAAGATTTAAAACAAAAAATCCGATCTATTCCGCGCCCAGCCGAAGTGCCCGAGGATGGTGTGGTGTGTGACTTGTTGTGGGCAGATCCGCTCAATCCGGAACTGTTAGACAACGAGACAGAGGAAGTGCCACAGATCTTTCAAGAGACCGGTTTCGCACCGAACGAACGAGGTGTATCATACGTTTTCAGTCCGGAAGTAGTAGACCGATTTCTAACCCGATTCGGATTGGATCTAATGGTTCGCGCACATCAAGTCGTCGAGGATGGCTACGAGTTCTTCGCCAACCGGTCGTTTGTGACCATCTTCTCGGCACCCAACTACTGCGGGGAATTCGACAACGCCGGTGGGATTTTTTGTCTTAGCCGCAGTGTGAACTATCGTCCAGCAACCAACGAGGAGGAAATCGATTTGGAGGGAAGCTTCCAAATACTGTATCCTGAGGCGCGAAAACGATCCACGGTAAAACGTCCATCAGTGACGAATGTAAATAAACGATGAAAAACGAACTGGAGCAAGTCTGTGCAACTTCCGAATCACAGGTAATGCGCACGTGCACTTGGCTTTCACTGAGTAAGAGGACACTTCATTTTGGTTCCACCCAATTTCGTCGTCCTCTCTCAGCGTCAACTAACCCCCATCTATAATTTTTGTATACTATTTTGTCTTTTTCCTTGCAAAAGTGCGCTACCCGCTCATCATCCTTCCATCCTTCCCTGTGCCAGCGAAACACAGTCAGTGACTGTAAAATGGGGAGTTGAATATCCCTCGATCTCCTTATCTCCAGATGTTTTCAGTGACGACACTTTCAGTTCACAGCATGGTTAAATTCTCTTTCAAACTAGGAATTTATTGCCGCTTTTGAAGTTGGTTGGGAACGAAATGTGATCAGCCATGTGGCGCACGTATGAACAGCTGCTGAACGAAATGGAACGAAAGGGTAACCTGACCTTATCCCAGGACTTTCGCTTGAAACTGTTCCCTGTATCCCATGAGATCAGATTGAACTTTATTAGGAATAAAATCAGCCCGGAACTAACGCAAAGTTCATCCAAACACGTGAGAATGACGGATGTAGAGTAAGTTCGAGTTTACAGGATATTGATGGCGCGTAAGTTATTCCTCAACGTTAACTTATCGTTCCTACTGGTGGAACTCTCAAGATCAAAATAACTCAAAGTGTTTGACTTTATTCAACGGTAGGAAGCACTGAGTCCGACTCTTCGTCTAACGATCAGCGTGTGACCAGCGTTTCGGACCTGACACCTACTAATGACACCGCTTTCCGGTAGGACGAAAAATCCAGGCGGAAAGCGAGTTCATTCTGACCATCCAACCCGTACAGATTAAAGCCTGTGATTTTCTTGAGGCCCAGTCATCCTACTCCCAAAGCTTTATGAAGTGGTGAATGAGTGAAAATGTTTTCAATCGCGCCAGTTAGTTGCCCATCTGTTATTTTGAGCATTAATTAATCGGTTATTGGAAATTCACGAGTTCCTGCTTATCCAATCTGAGAAGTGCTGGTGTAGTTTAGTATAGGAATTCCAGCTTTCCCCATCGCTGCGTCGATTAATGTGGCACGTGAGGATTATATCCCTAACTTTTATTTGTTGTGATGTACATTAGAACTGGTGAGATTCATTTGTGGTTACGACTGTCGATCTGTTCGCCGATTTGCTTGGTTCAGCTGCAGCACCCTTTCGGTGCTTAACTGCCACGCCCCCGAAAGAGGCACGAGGGCTGGGATACTGCCAGGTTGCCCAAGCTTAGACAGGGGAAGTCGAGGGGCAGGGGTCGGGTTCGAACCACGAACCTTCCAGTTCTAACCACTGAGCCATATCGACAATTTGCTTGCAAAAGTTCCTTCAACATATCATCATTGCGCGGTTGGACAGGCAGTTAATCCTAATCTGACTGAGTTTATATACCTTTTTGGGACCACCGAATCACTAGCTGGAATACACACTTGCATTCCATTGACCCGCTTGAGATTTGTCTTGTGTTGTGGTCCGTATTCCTTGCAGTCAGTCGGTGCGTTGAGTAGCTTTTTTTCGAAGGCAATCGATGGCATTCTAACTGGACAGTTTCCACTTACTCAACGCATTCATCGAAACGAAGGAATGCGGATCAAAATGCAACACAAATTGCAAACGGGTCAATAGGATCGCGGGAAACGTGCTGTCTAATAAGCCGAAAACATCAGAAAATCATGTAAGGGCAAGCAAGTAAGGAGGGGGTATCCCAAGCGTACACTGACGATGTTCCTTCGATTGGCGACGAAATGTTCGCAGACTAATTACCGAACTCGGTAAACCAGTGAACGCACCCAATTCTGATAACTGGCTTCAAGTCCACGAATCCGCCACAAGTAAACTCACAAATGCGAAGTTCTACAATCCCAAGAGACAAGCACGGGAGGGGCCAATATTCAGCAACACGTGTGCAATAACAGTGCGGTGAATTACCCTGATGAAGTACATTCTTCGCAAGGAAAATATTATTAGTCAATACTATGAGAAATCATCTTTAGCAATCAGAACACTGACAGTAGGAAAAATAAGTGGGGCCCGCGATCGATTTTTTAATCGACGAACACAGTTCCCCATATTGTCAGTGTTCACACCGAAGCAGAGCCGTTTAATGTACAGCGTGGGGATGACCAGGATGTCAAGAACTTGACAAAGTAAAGCAAAAAATCTGGGTCGTAGAAGGCAAATGTCGTCTTTCCAGACAGGAACCTCAAGAGACCGAAAAGATACTGAGAAATATAGCCTGTTTATGAACCATTAACGACGTTCCTGCACTGAAGCAATCGCCATTGGTGAATCCCTGTTCCACCCCCCATAAGGTCAAACGACTGCACCTTAATGGGATGGTTAGACAAGTGTCTCCCACGTGTAGTTAGCTCCTTATTATCCGCCTTGTCCAGAAATAAACAATCTCATGACTGAAAAACGACATAACCTTCCGAGCCTCTCCCATTTCTTTGGCTTTCTGTGTCCACCATACTTCACGATCGGATCGCACGCTCACTTTCACTTGACGTCTGATAACTCTTCGCACCAGGTTATGTTCGGGACCGGCTGGGCTACTTCTCCGAGACTTGAGCAGTGCCACCGTTTGGTATGATATTCAGTGCTTGTGTGCGCCTGGTTGGGCCGTGCCACAGGCAAAATTCCTAGTACTATGCAAAGAGGTGGCAATGTCGTCCCATTACTATGCAAAGAGGTGCCAATGTCGTCCCAGTAAGCGTTCACATCTGATAGTGGAGCATTTGGAAAAGACTCTAGGAGACGATTCTGGTAAGTTCGCCTAATATCCGGATCTGCTAGTTTCTCAGTTCCCAAGCGATTTGTGCGCACCTCACGCGGCCCAGGAAGAAGCGACTCCGGACGAGTGTGTGGTCAGAATACACGAATGTGTTCCAAACCGACCAGCAGTCAGTTATTAACTCGCGCTATCGGTAGCTAGTGGCAACGTGATCGATTTGAGTTTGTGGCCGGCACCATTGGCTATTTCCGGAATTAGTACTGCATAAAAACAGCCTGCGATCAGTACACAGCTAAAGCACTCGTTCCCCATTGTCCGTACGTACCGAGTTCAATCCATGTCGTGTTTATTGAGTCTCAGATGCACTAAGGTTGCCCACTTGTGCATTCATATCTCCTGCAACGACCACGATATCTCAGCTTCTAGCTCGCCGCAGCGGGGCATTCAGAGTGTCATAAAACCTATCTTTGACGGTATCGGAGCTACAGTCAGTTGGGGCGTAAGCGGACACGACGGACAGACAGCGATCAGTTTGCCGTATGTGAGTCTCCTTCACAGACGTTGCCAGACGAACCGCACAGAGGCGACTATCAACAGGTATCCAGTCAAGTAAGGATACTTCCGCCCGGTGACTTAGCACAATACCAACCCCTGCACATCCCGCTGCAGCAGCCTCTGGATCACCAGAGGTATGCAGCGGTAAGCGAGTCGAGACTCACGGGGCGGTTAACTCAATCACTGTGTTTGCATCTTGAATTCTCGTCTCTGAGACACAGTACACATCAATGCCATGCAAGTCCAGTGTGAGTGCAAGAGCAGCCTATCGTCCTGCTTGCTTCAGAGTGCGGACGTTGAACGCGGCCAGGTAGACTGGGTAAAAACAAAAAAAAATGAATAATAATCGTTCAGTTGTAGCGCACTTTCGGTACCTAGCTGCCACGTCACCCGCAGGAAGCACGAGGGCTGGGATACTGCGAGGTTGGGTTAACCAACATAAAAATAAACGAAAAGTCAAGAAGCCCCATTGACCGATAGCAGTATGGTAGACGCTGCAAAACGAAGACTGATCAGAAGAATGGGTTTTACATCTGGGAGAACACCAGACAGACAAATTGTACGCTGAGACAGACAAAAACTAGAATCCTGGATAGGATGAGTAAACAAATGCATTTAAATACAGATTCCTTTCGTGCTAGAACTGTGTAAGTGTAGGCAGATTCTTTCTTATACCTGTTGTTTAATGCTTCGGGAATAAGTGTCATCATTCGGCCATAACGCTCTTTCTTGGTCTAACCGTGTGTTCCCCGAATGAAGCACGAGGGCCGAAATACCCTCAATTTGCCCAAGTCTAGACAGGAGCAGCCGAGATGTGAGGGTCGGATACGAACCATGGACCTTCCAACCACTTAAGTTTTCACTTACCAACTGAATTCATCGACTAATTTGAGCAAATTTATTCATTTCAAGATACATATCATCTAATGTTTGCCATGAACACCCGTGATCCGTGTGTGAAACAACTCAGCTCTTAAAAGCCTGTAGCCTTTGAAAATCGGTTAGTTCCCGAAGTCCATTCATTGACCTGTTGTGTAGTCCCAGATTAAACAGAAAAGAGCTTCAAAATGTACGAAGCTCCATCACAACAAACAGTGAGTAGCAGACATCATCATCATCGATAGCATGACATCAGCCTTCAACACCGATGCTTCACTGCCGTACAACCATGATTTATTTGAAAGCCTTATTGTAAAGAAAAGAGTAAAGGGACTTAGTGCTTGCTTACCACAATCATTCCGAGGTGCCTACACCTCCAGACATTCACTCAGGCAATCTGGATAGAAACTGACAACGAGAATGCCACTGTCATCGGTTGGCCGGCCATATCTTGTAGTGTCTCCAACCGGGCACAGTGAGGATCACGCGGTCCCCATCCCGGAAGGCGAGTAGCACCGACAGCACCCAAGCGTTTCTCGGTCTCCTTCATACTCCTCTGCCAAGTCAAGGGTTGGCCACCTCTCTGTTTACGCCAATCTGAACTGGGCATGGAAAACCGCACCTCTCTTCGGAATACGTAACACATGTCCCAACCAACGCAGCTTCTGGTGCTGGACACATTCTTCAATTGAAGTACCCGTTACACAACCGAAAACACGCTTTCTAACTGCCTCGTTACGGATTCGCCGACACCAACTCACACGAGCTATGGTTCTGAGACGACTGTCAAACACCTGAAGACGTCTCAGTTCCGCTGCTCGAATAGGCCAAGTCTCACAGCCATACAACAAGATAGCCCGTACTGTAGCTTGATACACACGTCCCTTCAGATTCAGAGATAAATCATTCTGACGCTATAGGTGTCTCAAATCAGCCACCTGAGAGTACCTTGTTTAGAGTTGTCGGATGCGAGTAAGCGGTCAGTTGTCGAATGAGAACATCTCTGGCCCTCTGCGCGCGTGTGTCTAGCGATTCCATAGATCTAGCGTTCTTCAAAAACTGCACAAGACTGAGGAATCAGCGCGAAGATGAAAACTACCTAGAGTTATTCATGTGACAAGAGAACTGACCGGTTTTGTGCGTGAAGTGCACACTGAGTGCGGTAATCGGATCCTGTAGCGGGTCCCGATAAATCTCAGTGACCAACAGATCATTGTCCCCAATCCGCAGAGGAAACTTCTGGATGTCTGTGGTGATGAAAAGAAAGCACCGGTAAAAGACGATTTCGTGGAAAGCATCGAATGGTTACAAAGTATGATATGAACGACAATACCTTTGAGTTGGTGTCAACCGCCTAGAAATACAAGGAAATGAATGCATATCTGACAGAGGTAACAAGTGAAGGTGACAACCACTACACATTTATGAGTTTCCATTCTTTAACCGATCAAGGCTGTCACATTTGAGAAACAGTTAGGAGGATTGCCACTTAAATCAAAATAGCAGGCAAACCGTTTTGAGCAAAGTTGTCATCCCTTGAACAAAAAAAGTGTTCGAGTAAACAGCAAGTATCTCTTGATGGGGGGTTCCTACGTTGAAGAGATGACTTACAAGAGTTGTAACGCATGTTTTATATACCTAAGTAACAAATAATAAATAATTCAAACCATCAGTTAGGGGCGCGTTCGTTCAAAAAAAAGACAACCGTACACATATGACTACTCAGTAAACCAGTTTTCAGCAATGACAGGAAGGTTTCAAGTTCGATTTGCCCTCGAGATACGTGAGACGTGCACTGTCAAGGATGGAACAGTATTAGAGTGCTTTTCGGGTTTTCAACAACGTAACTAAACTTGCAGGATGAGATCGCAACTGAAACCTCTAAATTCCCTCAGTAACTGCAAACCGTGACCAGGATATTCAGAAGGGAGAACATTCGCAGGTGGCACGAACCCCTATCTTGGAAATCGTCCCTCGAGAAGCCGTTCGACACTAGATCACATGGGATGAACTGCATGGCTGGTGGGAGGAGTAGCGTCATGCCATGTAGAAGTACAAGCTGATCACACTGTTAACCAACCAATAGTAGTCGAGTTGACCCACTAGGTTATGAAAAGGCCAACAGATCATGGTAACATGTGACCAGGATGAGATCTGGAGCGAAAGGTTGGGGGCCGAACTATTCGTTCCTTGTAGTACAAATTCGGTTAGCTTCATAGCTGACCTTAGTCAATAAACGGGTTTTAGGCGGAACAATTCATAGACGGTGAGTAGAAGGTTGCAGTGAAAAGGTGAAGGGAGTGCATAGCAGTACGATAATCAAAATATCATAGCATGCTGTTCCTTGACGTGATGCTGAAAACTCTTCGACACTGATTCACTCTTTCTTAAGGCTAATTAGGTAGGCATAGTCCCCGAGTTTTCGTCAACTTCATGTCCTACTTGCACCAAAATTGTAGGCAATTGGCGAGACACACTGATTTGCAAAGGTGCAGTTAAGCGGCAAAACGAGAAAACGCGTGGTAAACTGGGTTAAAACGATTGACTACAGTACACAATGGAAAACGCAGTCAATCTATTCGCTGGGGTGCGCACCATCCGAGGTGACTGTATCACTGCACGGTGGAGTAGTGGTGTAGGTCACGGTACGGCCTCAAGTGAAAAAACGCGGTTATTGGCACACTGAAAAGGCTAAAATGGCCGATTAAGGCATTTGATGGCTCAGATATCGTATTCTGAAGGTACGTGTTGTCTGGTAGAAGGCGTATACCATCCATCGGTGCAGTGAGTGTTCAGGTATTCGTTCAAGTCAAGTAAGGTCACAGTGTTCAGGTCTATTTACGGTGAAAGTCAGTATTGTACGGCTATGAATAGCCTTAGGTTGTCAGTACATTTCCTCATCACCACTGGGGCTACTCACTTGCGAATCTATATGGGCTTGTCCTTGTTCACACTTGGATAGCGCCCCGAACTATTCTTCCGGGTGGCCACCTCTAACCGCTTATCAGGTGAACGTGAATGCCAAGTAACGTTGGACGTTGAAACTGATCAACAACGATCAGACAGACAATACACAAAAGGTGGACTGTATTTCTGAGACGTATTCCCCAGTGGTTGTCGCAATTGTTTCGCATACGAGGATGCATTCTGAACACCGTCTAATAGTGCTCCATACGCCTCAGGTACACAACTCAGGACAAATCGATTAAGATGAATCTGAGTTGAAAGGCAGTGAATGGCCAGTATTTCGCTGAGCTCAGTTATCAGTATGGGGCTTATTCGTAATCATTGTCTCCGGCGGACAGTTGTTTAGCTGTAACACCTTTTCGATGCCTAGCTGCCATAATCACCCGAAGGAAGCACGAGAGATGAGAAGGCGTCAGATTGTCCAAACCTTGACAGGAGGTTCATCATCATCATCATCGACAGCATGACATCAGTGTTCAACACTGATGCTTCACTGCCGTACAACCATGATTTATTTGAAAGCCTTATTGTAAAGAAAAGAATAAAGGTGGACGGGGGAGGGACTTAGTGCTAGCTTAACACAATCATTCCGAGGTGTCTACACCTCCAGACATTCACTCAGGCAATCTGGATAGGAACTGACAACAAGAACGCCACTGACATCGGTTGGCAGCCATATCTTGTAGTGTCTCCAACCAGGCACAGTGAGGAGCACGCGGTCCCCATCCTGACAGGAGGTTGCATTCGAACCACTGACCTTGTGGACAACAAGTTAGCGCCTTAACCACTGAGCTGTCTCAGGCTTAGACCTGGCTTGTACATCGTCATCGGAGACAGCAACATCAGAGGTTCACTGCCGTGCGCCCGGTGTGAAATATGAACACCGCCATCTATTTAGGTCTATAAAGACGACAAAACACCGAGAATATAGGGGATTCTAGGTTGAATATAGGCCAGCGGACAAGGCAGCACTATCGACTCGGAAAATTCACAGTGTCACATTACTGAGCTGGATTTGTAGTACCCTTACACCCCCGGGCAACGTGTGAAACCACGCATGTCTCGTCACGCCTTGTCCACCCCGTGTTTTATCCCAGCTGGAGTAGGCTTTGGCAAACACGGCACGACGAGGCAACCGAACATTTGATCGTGTATTCGCCAGCATAGCTCGTCCAGTTGTATCCCGCCATCAGATGGTCGAGTACTCGAATCGTTCAGAATTATTGACCCAGCATTAGTACGACATATGTACACAATGTATGGAAGGCAGTGACGATCAAGGAACTAGTCTGACCAGCAATTGCATTCGTTTTCATGTTTATCCATGAAACAGATATATGGGGATTGCGAAGACTCAGATAGACGGTCAATGTGAAGGAGTCTTCGGTTGAATCAGTGTAAAATCAAGAGCCCGTAAACCGGATCACCCGGAAGCAAGATTTCATCACTTTCTACTTGCTCGGGGTAGTTCATCTCTGATTGATCATTCGTTCTGTACTTTTGGACTTCAGCGTCTCGTGGAATTCCAGGGGTACACCGTTTCGCTCACTCATTCTTGGTTTCTCAAGAATGACCTTGTCCTCAGAAGACGGCGCTGTGTGGCTGATCATTCTGTTTTACATCTTTGAGGTGAATTTAGAATGCGAATCGATAGACGGCTGATGGTCATGCCAGTTACGAAAAGTAAGTGGGGACGTTAACTTTTCACAGCACGAATTAAGAGCATGTAATATTCCAGTAGGATGTAAGAGCTTCGTGTAGCCGTAGATAAAAGCCTGCCATGCTTTCAAAACGGAGCATGGGCGCTTGGAGAAGATCGAGTATCGAACGAAGAAATCCACTGTCGATGCTCTGATATGGCTGGACTCCAGAAGCTACTACAATTCTGTTGTGACTTGATGTACGGTAGTGCAACTCTGTATCGGTCTCTTGGCTTCCTGCTCCGCCCACAATGGTATCTCAAAAGGCACGGTGGCTCTACACAGCCTTTTATGGAGACAAAGGAAAATTATTACAGCCGTAATTAGAGGGTAATCACAGGGTGTTCCACAAGGTCGTGCTAGAATCTCCGTGAGGGGCGAGTTAGAGATGTTCGATACGGATTGGCTGGCATCAGCGCATGCCCTCGATTGGTCCGTGTCTTGCACGTGACGCATCCGTCCAAATGATGTGATGTTCGGTTATTAAGGACGGCTGGCTTCCATACAAATTCAGACGGGTGATTCATAGCCCCCATACGGTTTTCATATCGTGCCAAACTTAGCGTTGTCGCCGAACCAGTATTGCTAACCCAAGCGCCCAATTCCCAAGTAGTTTGGGTCACCGTAAGCAACAACAGATTGGAATTCACGACAGGCCTTGCAACTGACCGGTGTACTTAGAAAGCTGAGGGGTAGTACAGGTTGTCAGAGTAAGTGAACAAGCAAGTGACCTTTCTAGGACGATCTACAATGCCCCATAGTGAGATGGAAGCAAGATGCGAGGCCGGGCNCACAGTAAGTCGATCGTCTTTCCCTAAAATGTTGGATGTTGAAATTCCTCGAATGAAGCCACATAAACCAACAGACGCAAATTGTGAATTTGTGACCATCGACCAACCGCCACAGATGAAACTGAAAAACACGGTGTGTGACAAACGACTAGTCCGGCGGATCCAACAATCGCAAACGCAGCTCGCAATCAAAAAGTGACCATGGAAATCATGCGAATTGCCAGATCACCTCGTTATGCGGAGAAGAGGACAGCGCTCGTCGGGGAACCAGGAAGATTGAGAGAGCATTACAAAAGAAGAAACTGCACAAGAACAAATAACAAGTGAGAAGAGCTAGTCACTGGATCTCTGTTTCAACGCTCGGGCGAGACCCAGTCACTGCGTACTCAGTTAATGTGATACCCGTGACAGGGATGAGTGCTAGTCCGTGCAATAAAGTTGCCTACTGCTGAGGTGTTAGATTGATTGATTTGACGACAAAACTTGCGCCAGCAGTGATGCACAAATTTGCGAGTCAGTCTCACCGTGTTCTCGACCTGTAATGTTATCGGGAATGAAATGAAATAAAGAACAGTAGTAAGGTGTGAGAGGATGGACTGTGTTGGAAGTTTGCCCAGAATACAGAAAATTCTGCAGAGGGGCGGGAGGTAGAAAACACACTTACTAATGCTGCATATGCGCCCATTTGCACAGCCAAGGAGAAGGAGTTCGGAAGCCGCGACGCTATAGCTCAGGATAGGAACTGTGCTCCAAACCTGAAATAGCGACAGACCACATGTAAGAAAGATAACTGGGAAAGTGGGAAAGTGATGCCAAACTCGAAAGTTGCTTAACGCTAAGGAGTGATAGGACCGAAAGACCTGACAAATACCAGTTGTCCCCGATCACGTTCCCATACCCATTTTCTTATCCAAACGGTATTTCTAGAATGAAATCACTTCTAAATAGACCGACGGAATGATATGAGGGTGAGATGGTTCAGTGGGTAGAATGCGAATTTACTGAACGGAAGGTCCGTAATTCGAACCCGACCTCTGCTTATCAACTTCCCCTGTCTAGACTTGGGCAGTATCCTACCCCTCGTACTTCCTTTGGGCGGCATGACAGCTAGGCACCGAAAGGGTGTTACAGCTGGACGAACAATTCCTCTATGGATATCAAACCAGTTAACTGTACCCAATAGGTATGCATAATGTCTATCTAAATTTCTGGAATTTAGTCGTTGAGTGTTAGTTTCATTGTTGATCTTGACAGGAATAAGAAATCTCTACCAATCGCCAAGGTGAATCAGCCGATCGCTTACACATGGCGATTCAGAACCAGAAAAGCGCTAAGCTACTGATTATGGTTAGTAGTCTGAGTTGTGGAAAACAAGGCAGTTGGACATGTGAACTGTAGAGAACGATTAAGAACAGCCGCCGGAGCAGCCAATCGTATCTGACGGTGCCTCATGGTTGAAGGAAATAGGGACGTCCAACCCAAACGAAGGAAGTAAATTTTAGGTCACTCGCCGTCATTGACCCATCAATGCGCTGATGGGTCACGCGCTAACATGACAGTGAACAGTAATGAGTCCAAATGATCGTAGTGATAACAGCGATTCAGTCTTACGCGAGCAGCCCGATGGTAGTTCGGAGGCTATTGAAATTTCCTATCATCATAGAAGTTTCAGACAGGATCTGTGGGCTCGATTAGGGACCCGTCAGTTGCACCCAGTGGGTGTGGATTTCACCTTTAGATCACCTAGAAGATGCCAGCAAAACATCCACAAGCAACAAAACAGCACGTTTTACCACATATGAGTCAATCATCAAGAAAGTGTCCCGTGCGTGGTTCCGAACTGATCTTTCAAGGCAGCGACTGTTGCAACTTCATATATATTTAAAAGAAAGTGTCCCGTGGTTCCGAACTGATCTTTCAAGGCAGCGACTGTTGCAACTTCATATATATTTAAAATTGCCTCCAATCTTGAATGACTGACTTCCCGGTTAACAATTCAAATGGACCGCCCTTTTTTGGGCTGGTGGAATTGAACCCTATTTCAGTTTTACAAGATATCTATATTCTCCGTTTTTCTTACCACGCAAATCGTTTTTACCGCTCTGGTTATACTATTTTGTACCAAATCCTTAGGCAGCTATATATTGTTTTAATTCATGAGTTTGAGACGCGGTTTCGTTCACGCGTTGACTGTTGATCCATATCGGCTTTGCTTGCCTTTTGGAGTACCTCACCGTTTGTCGAAAACCGTTGAGGTTTGTAATTTTGTATTCCGTGTAACTACTTTCATTTTTTATAGTACAGCACATTTGCGTAGCCATTCGTTCG